ATCGAGCCGGACCAAACCCAGGCCAACGAGGTCCTGAGGCTGCAGGAGGAGCTGGAGGAGCTGCGGCGGCAGAAGGGCACCCGGGAGGCAGAAGCGCTCCTCCTGCAGCAGCGCGTCGCAGCCTTGGCCCAGGAGAAGAAACAGGTGCGGGAGAAGGTCACCGAGAAGGACGTGGTGAAACTGCAGAATGACCCCCAGCTGGAGGCAGAGTTCCGGAAGCTGCAGGAGGACCAGCAGCGGGAGCATCAGCTCAGGGAGAAGCAGGAGGAGGAGCTGAGCTTCCTCCAGGACAAGCTGAAGAGGCTGGAGAAGGAGCGGGCCATGGCCGAGAGCAAGATCATCATCAAGGAGGTGCTCAAGGTGGAAAAGGATGTGGCAACCGAGAGGGAGGTGGGTGACCTCAAACGCCAGTATGAGGACGAGGCCGCCAAGGCTCGTGCCAACAAGAGGGAGAAAACGGGGCTGCTCCGAAAGATCTGGGCCTTGGAGGAGGAAAATGCCAAAGTGGTCGTGCAGGAGAAAGTGCGGGAGATCGTCCGGCCAGACCCCAAGGCAGAGAGTGAGGTGGCCAACCTCCGCCTGGAGCTGGTCGAGCAGGAGTGCAAGTACCGGGGGGCCGAGGAGCAGCTGAAGAGCTACCAGAGCGAGCTGGAGGTGCTCCGGAGGCGGGGCCCCCAGGTGGAGGTCAAGGAAGTGACGAAGGAGATCATCAAGTACAAGACTGACCCCGAAATGGAGAAAGAGCTTCAGAGGCTCAGGGAGGAGATCATCGACAAGACCAGATTCATCGAAAGGTGTGACCTGGAGATCTACCAGCTGAAGCAGGAGATCCAGTCCCTGAAAGAGGCCAAACCCCAGGTGCAGACCAAGGAGGTGGTCCAGGAGATCCTGCAGTTCCAGGAAGACCCCCAGACCAAAGAGGAAGTGGAGTCTCTGAGGGCCCAGCTGTCAGAGGAACAGAAGAAGCAAGTGGATCTGGAAAGAGAGAGGGCGTCCCAGGAGGAAAAAATCAAACAGAAGGAGGAGGAGCTTTCCCAGGTGAAAGAGAAGATGGTCCAGCAGGAGGTCGTCAGGTACGAGGAGGAGCCGGGCCTGCAGGCCGAGGTGAACGCCTTCACCGAGAGCATCGACGCGGAGCTGCAGCAGATCGATGGCCTCCGCGGGGAGCTGCAGCAGCTACAGCGCAGGCGAGCGGAGCTGGAGCGCCAGCTGGAGGAGCTGGAGCGCGAGCGGCAGACACACAGGGAGGCCGAGCTGGAGGTACAGCACCTGAAGCAGCGGCTGGCCCAGCTGGAGGAGGGGGAGGCCCGGGAAAAGGTGACCCTCAAGCAGAAGGTGGTGCTGCAGCAGGACCCCCAGCAGGCCCGGGAGCACACCCTGCTCACGCTGCAGCTGGAGGAAGCGGGGCACCGGCGGGTGGGGCTC